ATTCTGAAAATTTCCTGAAACAGGTTTTGACTCAGAGTTGTCAATATCCATGTTTTTTCAAACAGTATTATTATCCTCTCTCCTATCAAGTATTATGATGATGCTATATTTCTTAAAACAATGCTCAACTCTTGTGTCTAGGGTTTTCTTCGAAGCCACTGACACCAATTACAAAAGTTTTGATGCTGGTATTTTTTTGAGCCAGACAGGAAATTGGTAACAATAACTAAGTTTGCACATGCTCAGGCAATGACAATAACAACCATATCATGACTGACACCTGGCTGATGGTGCTTTTAAGACATACAAATTTCAGAAATGTGAAAACATATTTCCTACAGTGGAAGCAATGGACTGTGGCAATCGAGGGGAACTTTTCCTTTTATTTTTCAAAACTTAACTAAGATTTGGTCACCAATCAAGAAAATGCTACTCATGGTATTTGAGCCACAAGTAAACCTGTCAGTCTCCATCCATGGTGGCTTTGTCAACAGATTTAACTATTTTGTCATTTTTTTTTTATAGAGTAGGTATGTTAATGCCTTTACATATTAAAAGACACTAATATAAATTACTTTTATTTCTTTTATATCAGAGGCATTATTATATTGGTTTTTCTATGTATGTACATAGGCAGGTGGTATTATCTATTAATTTCATTTCAAGGAAGTAAAGACTGATTTAGAAAATATCTTCTAGAAAGATGGCACTGTGTCTGACAGGGTTTAGGAAATACTGAATTTAGGGATCATGAATAAATGCTTTTCCTCTAAACAGAAAGCAACTCCATGGCACTTTCCTAACTGATATTAATACGCTTATAGACAGAGAAATGGAGGAGGCAAAAAATTATGTATTAATTTAACACTGAGGATAGTTTTATGTTATGTTAAGAAAGTGATTTCATATTTTATATATGAGCTCTCAAGTCTACCACTTTGTATGTCATTTTGAGTGACTCATTCTCTTTGCCTCAGTTCCCTAATAAGTAAAATGAAGGTTGTAATAGCATTACCTCACAGAGTTCTTATGAGAACTAAATGATACAATACATGGGATGATGTTCACAGGAGTGGTTGGTACATCAGAAGTAGTAAATACGTGAAATCTATCATTAATTATAATCATAAACTATATCTTTCTGCAAAATAAAAATGTCTGAACTTCTGCTAAACTCCTGACTACCTGAGAAATCATCCCTGAAGAATCTATGATTTCTTGATATAGTGGAGAAAAACTATATCATGGTTTTGTAAATGTTTTCTCACAGACTATATTAGAAAGGATCAGACTACCTTTTGGATAACGAGGTTTATTACCAATTTCCACAGAAATGCTCTGTAATACACAAATATACCTCATATTCCAAAATGCAAAAAGGTAATATATGAAGTGTAGCTAAAATATATTCTCCATCAAATAAAACATAATGCCAGTATAGACATACTATTAGTTTTTGTCAAGTCATTTAATGTTTTATTAAAATCAACAAAAGTTATTAAGGATCTACCAAAATCTCAGCTATAGGCTATGCTGAGTAAATACAAAAGAAGTACTGTATTTCTATCCCATGGGAAGATGATGGGTGCCTGGGATGAGGAGACCGAAATGTATGAAAAACCAGAGTCACTAAGAGGAAGAGTATAATTAAGTGCTAAATTGCATCGCACAGTTCATAAAAGAGTTGTAGGAATTCAGAGGAAGATTAATGAGTCATAGGGTAGTAAGGAAAGTTGCACTTAGGAAAAGGGAGGAGAAATGTAGCAGCTATTATATGTGTGACCTAGCCAAGCTAGTTAACCTCTCGGTGTGTTTCGTCTTTTACAAAATTTGACAATTTAATGAATGTAAAATGCCAAGCACATTCTAAAGCAAGATAGTTTTCTGGTAGGGTCTAAGAGAATGGTACCTACCTAAAAAGAGAATGTTTCAGATAGTAGAATAACCTGTGTCGTGTAAGAGAGACTTGTCATTTAAGACTTCAGGTTCAAAAAGATAAGGAAAAATCTCCATGAGTAATAGACTTACTATTATAAGTACAATTTTCTGTGGCAAATTGCAACTATAGCTTTTCCCTGTGAATCAAAATAACTCTTTAAGCACATGAGGCTTCATGCAGGTTGAAATCCTATAGAGTTCCTTCTTCTGAGCAAAAATTTTCTTTAAAAAAATGGCATAGAATACACATATCTGCTTTTTCTTCTAAATCCTTGCTTCTTCCTGGCTTCTTTTATTTAAAAGTGATCACGTACTCAAAAGGTATCATAACCTAGGCTCTCCATCATCTATAACAAAGAGTTATAATTCCAATAACTTCGCTACTATGATTTTCAGTTAATTAAAACTAGAGAAAATAAAATGACCTCATCTTCTGTATATAATCAATCAAATATTCCATATCATGGCTTTTCCAACAAGAGAAGGAAAATAAGAGATGGAAGGATTCTTCTAAAGTATGTCAACACTATCTGGGAAAATTATGTTCACCAAAGTTCTGATTACATTTACATGTAACATCTATTATTGGAGTCTTTCCTAACATTATCAATTAGAGCACTTGTGCACATGATAATGGTGACTGTGACAAGTAAAGCTACAACTTCTAGGACTGGTCAAAGCCTAGCAATGTCTTCTGCTTAAAAACAGAAGGCACATTAGAGTAATAAAAGTTTCCACTTTAGGCCAAATTAAATTATTCCAGTTCCAAGATCTAAGATAATTTCACAGCAATTAGAAAAACTCCATTATTCATTCTTATCTATAAAAAAGTAATTTCAGCCATGCATCACATGATCTATATCCATTTCTTGCAGAGAAAAATGAAGGCCTGGAATCATTATCTTGGCTTGTTCAGAAAACAGAGAATTGGAAATACAGTGTTGGTACTCTGAGGCTTTGCTATGTAAACTCACCTAAATATGTAGGTCCTTTCAAAGTTTATTATACAGTGTGATCACACAAATGTAATTTATATGTAAAACAAAATTGTTTTCCTTGTGTTTTTTAATGCTTTTATAGGCTTTGATGCACATACAGAAATTCATTTAGACTAGGACTTCTTTCTTGCAGACAGTAGAGCAGTCCTCTGGTCTCCTGGTGGCAGATAAAGAGGATAGCAGGGTGACAATCTGCATGCTCCTTCTGTAAGCGCCAAGCTACAGGCAGGAGAAACAGTATTTTGTTAATTTGTTTCTTTATCTAAACATTCTAATAACTCTGCAACACTGTGCAAGGCAGTGTGGTAGGCACTAGGACAGTGGTAAACAAAAGCTTCTCCTGGAGTTCAGGGTCTTCTTAAATATCTTTTTGGTAGGTTTTGGCTTTAATTTTGTCTTTCTTTGTATTGCCCAAGTAGATTTCCAGTCTCCATAACCCAAGAGACTCACAATATGATAAATCAAGCTTTGGGCAGGACCTCAAGAGAAAGTAATGGGCAAGACTGAAGAGACTGCTTAAGAAAAACTTAAGGCAAGATGATGTTGCACAGAGATGCAACACAAAATCTCAAGGAGTATCCCTTTCATATTGCATCTGTAACAAATAACCACTTTAAACCTACACAAGTTAATTACCTCATAGTACTGGAGGTTAGGTATTATAAAATCAAGTTGCTGGGAGGGCTACATTCCTTTGGAGGCTCTTTGGGAGAATCTATTTCCTCATCTTTCCATCTCCTAGAGGCTACATTTTTTTCCTTGGTTCCTGATTCCTTACTCCACTTTCAAAGTCAGCAGTACAGCATCTTCTCTCCTCTCCCCTCCCCTCCTCTCCTCTGCTTTGGGGATCATCTCTCCTCAGACTAGGGACAAATGTGATTACATAGGGTCAACCCAGATAATCCAGGATAATCCTCCCAACTCCAGATCTTTAAACTAATGGTATCTGCAAAGTCCCACATAAGATAACATATTCACAGGCTCTAAAGATAAGGAAGTGCACATCTCTGGGGGCCATTATTCAGCCTACCATACAAAGTGAAGCCAATGGGGGAAAAAAAAAAGGTTGCCTTTTTTACATTTTAAATAAACTAAGTGAACATTCACATTCTTCAAGTTTGTTTTCTATTTCAAGTCCATTTTGGTTATTCATTTTACCTGGCTTTTATTAATAAAAATGGTGGCCGGTTACCCTCCTCCCAACTGGTATTTCTCTGAGGTCTTGTAACTCTCTAACACCAGCTTTCATGCAAATAAACAATCTTAAACAACTGGAAATGCTGACATAACTCTTAAATGTACTCTATGAGCTGATTGCCATGAATACAGTTTGAGCTAACCTTTTCTACCTCCTTTTAGAATTAAATTCGTTAATAGGTTAATAGTTTATGGGGGCTGGAAATAGCTTTTCTATTTTCTACAGCGAGGGGCCAAGGAGCTAGATTTAGCAAGTTGATCCTAGCTTAATTCCTGCATACATTATGTAGCACAAGCTCTTCTTTAATGCAGATTATAAATTTAAGACAAACAAGGAATAATATGCATCACTTTAGTGGTAAATATCCGCTTAAAAGCTTTTTCTGCTAGTGGCGTTACAGGCTAGAATTGATATTTTCATGTCACTTCTACTTGAGAAAAGGAAAACAGTTTGCAATTCATCTTAGTTAAAAAATATAGAGATTTTTTTTTGCCTGTGGACATTATGGAGTAATATGGTATAGATTTACCTTCCTGCCTAAAAAAATACTGGAAATTAGAAAAACACGTTTTCATACAAGTATGCAGTGTAGTACTGTGATCCGCTACGATTACAGCATTTTACATGCTGGAGGTTTCCAGAAGCATCGTAGGACGGGTTCTCATTGCCTTTGGCCTCTGAGTCCAATTTACATTTATTTACGTCATTCAAAGTACCTCTCTTCGAATAAAATTCATAGAAGTAAAACTAAGAGGATATGCTTGGACAGCAGGGACCACAGAATCAACCCGGGAGCAGCGAACTCTCGCGTTATGGTAAGACAAACAACCCTGACGTCACCCTCACGGGGACGCTCGCGAGACTCAGGGTGGGCGGTGCGAGAGGCTGGTTTTCGCAGAATCGGGCTCCTGTGAAGAGAGCAGGTATTAAGCTACGCGTTGGGCTGGCTGCTACCAATATGAGCGGCCTGGATGGGGTCGAGAGGACCCTTCTCCAGACCAGCAGCCCTAATACTCCCGACCATGCCCCAGGAGACCCGGACCAACACCAGCGCCTGAAGCTCCGCGAGAAAACCGAGGCGTCACAGGTGATGACGGAGACGGGTGGAGGAGGCTTGGAGACCGTCGCGCTCCCACAGCCCCAGCTTCCAGAGGAATGTGGAGCCTCCCACGACCCCGCGGTCTGTGGCCGTACTCCCCAGACCCAGGTCGGTGGGGATCCCGGTTACGGAGCGACCAAAGCGGGACTAGAAGAGGTTCCGCCTCCCCCGGAGCGCGGGGAAGCCGAGTCTGCGTCCATGGCAACGGACTGCAGCCTGAACAATAGCTGTCAGCTTGTAGAGCTGGGCGGCCCAGATGCGGAGAAGGCCGTAGAAAGCTGCGGCGCAGAGAGGTCAGGGTCAGAGGTGATGGCGAAGGCGGAGGAAGTGAACACTGAATTGAACACCATCTTCTCGGTAGCACTGGATGAGGAGGTGGTGAATAAGGAAGTAGTAAAGGAGGAGGAGGTAATGGAGCAGGAGATGGAGGTAGAGGAGAAGCCAGGAGGTGAAGAAATACAAATGGTAGAGGAAAATAGAGGGGTAGAAGAGGTGAGGGAGGAGGCAGGGCCCCGGATTATGGATCTGCGCATGAACCCCCTAGAGGCCATCCAACTGGAACTGGACACGGTGAATGCTCAGGCCGACAGGGCCTTTCAACAACTGGAGCATAAGTTTGGACGGATGCGTCGACATTACCTGGAGCGGAGGAACTACATCATTCAGAATATACCGGGCTTCTGGGTCACTGCCTTTCGGAACCATCCCCAGTTGTCCCCCATGATTAGGAGCCAAGATGCAGAGATGTTAAGATATGTAACCAATTTGGAGGTAAAAGAACTCAGACACCCGAGAACGGGCTGCAAGTTCAAGTTCTTCTTTCGAAGAAACCCCTACTTTAGAAACAAGCTGATTGTCAAGGAATATGAGGTCAGAGCCTCTGGCCGAGTGGTGTCTCTTTCCACTCCAATTATATGGCGTCGGGGCCATGAACCCCAGTCTTTTATTCGCAGGAACCAAGATGTCGTCTGTAGTTTCTTCACCTGGTTTTCAGACCACAGCCTTCCGGAGTCTGATAGGATCGCTGAGATTATCAAAGAGGACCTGTGGCCAAATCCACTGCAATACTACTTGTTGCGTGAAGGAGCCCGTCGAGCCAGACGTCGTCCAATAAGGGAGCCAGTGGAGATCCCCAGGCCCTTTGGATTCCAGTCTGGTTAAACTTTGCCCTCGGGACTACCCCTGCACAAGGTCCCCTGTCACCTTTTTCTGGACTTGTGCTTAGGCAACAGAAATGGGTATGCCTTCTACACCCTCCTCCCCCGCCCCGACATTTCTGCAACATTTTTCCTCTGGACATTTAGTTCTCTCAGCCTCAAGATTGAGACGTTCATGGTCATGCTTCACCACTTCTACACAGACTTTGTGCTGTTCTGAATTACTGTTACATGCTGCATGGCCATTGTTCACAATACTGCTAAGCCAAGTAAATGTTGCTCTGAATTGAACAGCCTTTATCTGCACTGCTTGGACTGTTTGTTCTCAGGGCCTCTGGTTTGGCCCTTACCACCTAGAATTCTAGCTTTAGTAGGAGCCCATTCTACTCACTTTGCTCTGCAGTGCAGGCGTGTAGTTTGTGGACAGTTACAGGGCATTAATAATATCAAGAGGGAGATCAGCAGTGGTCCACTTGGTCTTTGTGATTTAACTGACCGCGCTGCCCCTCTTGTACCTCTGGTCACCTCCTAATGCTGCCTGCTTTTGGCTGTGCCCACCCCCCTTTGGCTATTACCTATTAGATGGACGAACATCTTCCAGGCCATTATCAGCCCCTGTTTGGTTTCTGGTAAATCAGAGTCTACAGAACTGATGGTGGACCCAAGTTTCCTCCCAGCACAAGTTTCCTTTCCAGCTGTTCCATTCCTCTACATTAGTTCCTCACTGCCTCTTCCCTCGACCCCCATTATCCAGGAACCCTATGATCAGGCGAATGTTTGAGGTGACAGGTTAGACCTTGTCCTCATGGCAAGAGTAAAGTTGGTGTCTAGGCTTTCTTAGCTTGAACTAGCAATTCATACAAAACCTAGGTACTTTCTAGAGCCTCCATTCTTTCCTCATCCTGAACATGATTAAGTGTCAGGGTAGGGTAGCAGTACACTTTGTCTCTTATCTGTTAAAAAGAAAAAGACATCTGTGAAAGCATACTTTTTAGCTTAATTTGGCACTCTCCATCATTTTCAGGGACAAGTAGTCCTATAAAAGAGACTCTCAGAGTTTATTACTCTTTACTCTCTTCCCCACTCTCCATCCTCCAACTCTTAGAGGGCTTAAAGGGAGACATCCAGATGGAATGAAAAGTGATATCTAGTTCATAATGGATGGAAGAACTAAAGAGATTGTGATGGTGTCCTAAGAAGGGGAAACTGAACAGACCATAGGCAAAAATGAGACAGGTAAAAATTGGGCCTAAAATTAAGACTGGCTGGCTGAGAGCCTTAAAGAAAAAGGTCTGTTAGTGGTGATGGATGGAGAAATACTTTTTCTCATGATTTTTGATGGGAGAATTGAAGGGGATTGGAGTGTTAAATACCTTGCCAAGAGACGCGTTCTTTAAAGAAATAAAATGCAACTTGGGGTGCTTTCTCTCGTTTTCATGTGAATTTATGCAGAAGGTTAATACTGTGTCCTTTATTTCACTAGTATTTGGTAAAATCCTGTTGTTTTCTCTGTTTCTGCTTACTGGGAAAATTGAGCTGTATAAGATTGCTTTCAATTGGGAACATTTGGAAAACTAATCTTTCCAGTACAATAAAGACTTAAATGAATATTCGTAATGGTTTTCAACTTGTTCTTGTTTCTGTCAAAACTGTAGTCTTAGAAATATGAAAAACTTGGTCTTGTTAGATTCTGAAGACTGGAAATTGTTGTCTTCATGGGAGAATAACCTACAAAAAATGCGTGGCTTGATGGTCTTATGTGATCATTTGCCCTGGTAACGACTTCTTAGTAATTGATGTGTCTCTTTTCCTAAATAGCATAAATACTTGTGAGATTGCTCTATCAAATTGGAAGTGTACCATTGGCATATCTGTTTTTATATGCATTATGATAAAAGCATATTACTGTTAGATTTCTTATTTTTCATTCTGACTGGAGAAATTATTAAAAATAACAATGTAGTTTAATGAAGTTCTTAAATGGATTCAATAAGCATTAGTTCAAAAACAAAAGTAGGGCACACTACTGCACCTTGCAAGGTAGGGAGGTTTGTTGTTTTTTATTGCTTTAAAATGTCAACAATTGACAACTGATTATGATGTCACTTTTTTTTCCATAGAGTTTGTATAACACCATCACCCCCTTCACTTCCTTAAAGCTTCCATGTCTATCCACAGAAGTAATAATTCTCAGGTCATTCAGGCTCTTTTAAGTCACTTTTGCGTTTAATAAGCACACATTCACAGAGTTCCTATCATAAGTGATATATTCCTATATCCCATACTTTCTCAGCTTTAAAAACTTGTTTGTTCTTTTCTTCAAATCTTAACGCCTATCTGTGTTAAATTCTTCAAGCCTGTCATAAATAACTCTTCTGCCTTATATTTTTTCTGTTCCCTTTAGGGAACATGAAAAAAAAATTTTTTATGTACTTGGTGTACTTTGTAGGAACTTCTGTTCTAGAAAATAACATAATTCATTTCAGTAAATTCCACAAATTTTAAAGCATTCTATTTGGTACCCTTGGAAGATAAGTATAAGAAGATAAAGTCCATTCCCTTATTGTTAAAGAACTGGGGGGCAATTAAGCCTTCACTACATCTAGCTTAATGTGTTGCACATAGTTGTCACCAGATAAATATTCACTAAATGACAAAAGGGTCAACTCAAATGGAGAAAGAGAACAAAATAACCGAGTATCCAGAAAGACTTTTGATGAGGTAATGAAAAAAAAATGGTTTTCAAGGCATTTGTGAAATTGATGTCAAAAATATTTGCAAAGCATTTCTTAATTAAAAGCAAATTTCTTGTTTAATTAGAAAAAGTCCAAACATAATACATTTAACGTTTCACTTGCCGTTTTAACAGAGCATTAAGTTTGGATCAACTATTATGTGCTTTGTTTTTGTACATCTTAAGGTGACTTACACTGGAAATTGAAAGGGGTTAGACTCTATACATGTGCTGTCCAATACAGTAGCCACTAGCCACCCGTGGCTATTGAGCAGTTGAAATGTGGCTAGTCCACATTGAAATCTGCTGCAAATATAAAATACACACTGGATTTTAAAGATTGGGTATGGAAAGAAGAATGTAAAATCTCAATTTTTTAATACTGATTGCATATTGAAATAGTATTTTTGATACAGTGAGTTAAATAAAATACTAAAATTAATTTCTATTTATTTTTTTAAAAATGTGGCTACTGGTAAATTACACAGGACAGCATGGTTCTAGATTTCTTGAATATCTCAAAGCACATAAAAATATCTGTAAAAATTAAACATGTTATTACTTTATCCCCATGAAATTTTTTTTGACTAGGACAAGGACTATGTTAAACAATAGAGGGTCTCTAAACAGATATAACTATATCCTATACTTAAGAATGTAATTTTGAATATTTACTGCCCTCAGAAGAATAGAATGGGCCAATGTAGTTAAAACATTTTATTATCCTTCTGGAATATGCTCAGATGTAAAGAACTGTTGATATCACTGAGAAATGTAGAGAATGTATATATATTGAAGTTTAATTAAGTCAATAGAGTGATTACTTGTAATAGGCACTTAATTCTAATCTTCAAGTTCTGACTTAGCACACTACAATTAAGAGTTGTGTTGAGATGGGTCTAAGATCTGGTGGATATGTGGCAGTGTAGGTGCTGTTGTAAGCGACCATTTTACGTAATGGCCAAACTTCTCAGTTACTCTAGAGTCAGTTTTGATAAATTCCCTCTGATTAGCAATTAAAAGCATATATTTTGCATAGCTAATTTTTAAAAGATATTTTATAAAGTCTTTAATAATACATGGAAGAATGTGGTAAAGCATTTTAGTTTCAGCAATAAACTTATTTTCTATGGACCAGAAATACTATATGTCTAGAATAATTTAATTTTAACAAACATAGTGGACAAGTATTATTACTATGTTCCAGTGTTTCATGTCTGTCTCAGATTATTTAAACTGTATCCTACTTGGTCTAATTCAGCTTTCTTTTCTTTCACTTAGTGCTTAATTCTTTGCAGATGTCTTCCATCTTTGAACCTCTATACACTTATAGTTTCATAGTAGAATTTGACATTGATTTTATACTTCTTGCACTACAATGTATTTAATGTAGGTAAATCTTAACAAAAAAGAATAATAAAAATTACCAAGTCATCATTTATTTATTTAAAGCCCATTGGGTCAAACACTTTACATATATCTCATTTAATCTTTACAACAGTCCTGTCAAGTTTTTTTATATTCGTTTTGTATATGAGGAAACTAGCGTAGAGGAGTCTGATCTGCTCTGTGCAAGCTGATCTGTGAGTCTGATCTGCTCTGTGCAAGTTGGTGACTCAAGGCCTGAGAACTAAGGGAGCTGGTGGTGTAAATACCAGTCTAAGAGCAGGAGAAGGTATCCCAGATCAAGTACTCAGGCCGGAAGCAAAAGGGGCAAATTCCTCCTCCTTCCATCTTTTTGTTCTATACAGGCCCTCATGGGATTGGATGATTCCCACCCACATTGGGGAGGGTAACCTACTTTTTTATTCCACCAATTCAAATGCTAAATCCAGAAATACAGGCACACCCAGTAATAACATTTAATTTGGGCACCCTTTGGCCCAAATAGACACAAAATTATCACACCAAGCATACAAGGGTATGAGGTCATTCATGTCAGGGATCTTGTCTCTGATTTCTCTTAGATTATGACTTTTTTTTTTTAACATCATCACAGGGAGCCAACATAATGAAATAATCGTGTGTGAGAAAAATTTAATTTTGTAACAGTGACAGCCTAAGTAAAATAAAGATTGTAATTTAATTTTAATAGTACATAGAGCATCAAACATATGTTGAAAACTCATGCCACAGTTCTTTTAATGAATGTATGGTCTATAAAATTGTCGTATAATATTCTCTTCAGAGAAGTTTAAGCTTTAAAACCAAGGGCAAATTTGAGTCAGATTATAATTTTAAAGACCACTTCCTCCCTCTAGTGACCAGAAATGGGAATACTATATTCACAAGCATTTAAAAAACCGATCCTCAGTGTGTATGTGTATCACCCCGAAGGTGTGTCCGGGAAATTTCTCAGAGTTATTTTGGTTATTACAAAGAATATGGATACTACTGATGTTCATTCGGGGCATTAGGGATGCTAGACGTCCTGCAGTGTGAGGGATAGTGCCCTATATAATTATCTAGTCTTAAATATTCAAGTAGATGAAAAAACTCTATTAATTATTTAAACCTAGAACCTAGTATTATGAAAAGTTGTTTACATATGAAAACAATGTTTTGCACTGTTTTATACACTGTATTTTTGAAAACAACCCCTTTCATCTATTCTAAAACATTGATTGTAAGATAATGTCATTACTTTTACCTAACATCAAGAATGAAAACAATTGCCAATTAAATTCTGACACAAAGTTTTCTAATACTTAAGAATTTAAATTTTATCAACAATCAGCAGTGAAAAGGCAACCCATGGAATAGAAGAAAATTTGCAAACTATGTATCTGAAAAGAGGATAATCTCCAAAATATAGAAGAAACTAATGATTCTGGAGGTATAACCATCTAACTACTTCACCATGTCATAGGCATGCCCATGCATTTAGAAATTAAAATAAATCTTTTAAGAATCACTTTTTAATTTCTTCTTTAAAGTACAACTAAGATGTTATATTGATTTTTCTTTTTAAAAATAGTGCATGATGTACTATGTGTGAATGTCAACAAAAAAAGTTATAAAACATTTGTTATAAGAAGGAATGTTATTCTAAGAATGTTATTTCTGTTCTAGAATGTTTCTACAAGCTCAATTTGATTGCCCCTGTATAGACGATTTTGCTGGCATCATGGCTAGACTCATGGGTCCACACTTGGTTTAATGTTCTGTTGCGTTGTTTTGAAATTCTCAATAAATTTTGAACATAGAGGCCCACATTTTCATTTTGCACTGCCTATTCTATGGTGGTCATGACCGCAACTGACATAAATAATAAACTTTGGTTTTGAAGTAACACTTATATACATTTTTAAAGTGCTTTAATATCTGTTATCTCATTTGATCCTCACAATTAAGCAGCAAGAGACGAGAGTGAGTGGTAGAGAAGATATAACCTTAAAGTCAGAAGAAGCCTGAGCTCAAGTCTGGTCTCTGCAGTAATCTGGAATAGTAATTTAATTTTTCTGATCCTTAGAGGCTTCTTCTGTTAAATAGTAGCACTACCTGCCACATTAATGTTGATGTGATAATTATGCAAAATAACATGGAACATGGTAGGTACTGAATAAGTCTTTCTCTTCTTCTAGCTCTTCTGTCCCCTGACTGTCCCAATGTGCAAGACATAAAATTTGAAACAGAGATTTAAATGATCTGCCAAGTGTGTTATTCTGGGTCTTCTGAAAAGCAGAGGTCAAACTGGGATTAAATATGCAAAGGTTTTATTAGGGGGGAGGAATTTCCAGACCACTGGTCTTACAGGTCATTTGTCTTGTGACCTTGGCGTTATCAGCTCTGTTATAGGATTCTCGAACAGAGAGACGGGATATTGAGGCTATAAGTAGAAAGCAACACTTATTAATGCCAGCACCTGCTCAGCGGATTCCTATCTAAAGGCTGAACTCTAATTGTAACATAACAAGCAGTTTTTATGTAGTCTTGTTATTCCTACACAGCTACAGAGGTAAGAACATTAGTTGGATAGCAAGCTATAAATCAAGAGATGTGAGCTGGAGAGTCTTTGAGGTGGGGGAGGTAGCTATGGGAAAACATGTTAGCTGGAGAGTCCTGGACAGGGGTATTGGGGGGAGGGCAGTCAGGAATGGACCTTAACCAGCTGAGACAGTCATTTCTGCAAGCCCTCTCCCCTTCACCCTTTCATATGCCTCCTCTCCTCTCAAAAGAATCTACTATGTATCTGTCCTTGTCTAGCTGAGATGAGGAGAATGATATTCATGAAATGACCAATAAAGTTAAAGATAGACGAAAAATAAGAACTAAATTGGATGGCAAAGCTCCTAAGAGCTGTAGAAATTCTATGGACTATCAGAATGGTAAGGTAGTTAAGGAAGGTTATATGTAGGAGATGAGAGGAGGCAATTTGCCAATTAATATATGTCTGACCATGGGGGAGTTAACTTCTTTGTTTATGAAATTAATGCATTTACAATGCCTAGTGAAATCTATATGAGGTAAGCTTGAATGGAGTTTTAAAGAATGGGAAGGCTGTTATTAGTGGAAAATGATTCTATTAACAGGAATAATCAAAACTAGGAACAGTGATGTTACAAATAGTAAAGATACAAATCTTTAAAAAAATTTAATATACATAACAAGAGAAAAAACTTCACAGGTAGTAGCTTTATGCAATTTTATAATTTTCTGTTGCAAATAGCAAACTATTTTTCTCCTGATTGGGAAAGTTAACTTTAATTCAGCATTTGTTGTTCTCTGCATCCTGGCTCAGGATAAAATCAAAGAGAATTAATCTTTCAACAGTGTAAAGAAAAGTAAATATTTTAACATTAACATTTTAAATGTTACTTAAAATATCTTAAGACTATTAATACCTTTAGTGCCTGAAAACAGTTAATTATTGTTCCTGTGCTGCAATGAATTATCACAGGAGCAAATTTTGGCAAAAGTTTGCTGGCTTCACATCTACAGGGATTATGAAGCAGGAACTATTTTTTGATTAAGATTATAACCTGGGGATAAGCAACAGATAATATGCATAATTTTAGAAATTAAAATCCCCTGAGATTACATTTCTTCCTATAACGCTTAAAGGCTAAATTTGCAGGGTTGCTCCTGTGTAGGGCACCTCAATATAAGGAAAATACATTTTGCTACTTACATTAAAAGTGAAGAGGAAATATTGTTCAATTGCTTGGTAGGTGTTGGCCAAAATATATAAACTTTAAAATCTGCAAGGAAATTTGAAATTGTCTTTTATTATGTCTTGTTAGGATGCGAAGTTTCCCTTTCAGTTGTTCCTAATTTTTTAAATGATCACACTTAACACAGTAACACGAAATGAACTTTTCTTAAAAATCTAACTCTGTCCATCTCAATTCTTTGGTAACAGCCATGAATCTATACATTAAAGGCCTGAAAATTGCTGAATCCACTTTACATGAGAAGCCCGATGAGCTGACTTGAATAGACAAAAAATAACTCTTCCTACCTTTAAACAAATATTTTAACAATTAATTGCTCTGGTGCCTTGGAAATTCATTCAAAGCCTCAGAAATCCACATAAACAAAATTCAAGTTCTCACATGCTTGAGTTTGGTCTGCATCCACTTATGCGGGCCAAACCTTTTCCAGAATGATGTAATTCAAAACATTTTGTAACACAAAGGATTACCCTAGACTGACGAATGCGATCACCAGGCGCAGTGAGTTTCTCGCGCGATATTAAGACGCTACCGTCCTGACGTCACCAGTTGCTATGGAATTATTCTCCCCAGAGTGGAAAAGAGGGGTGGCGCGAGGGGCGGAGCACCGCTTCTGCAGAGGACCGAGACTGCTCTCGTCCTACAGATCTGACTTCTATCAAAATGAGCGGCCTTGATGAGGGCAACAGTCATCCTACAGGTCTGACTTTTACCAAAATGAGCGGCCTGGATGAGGGCAACAACCTTCCCGTCGCTAAAACCTGCGGCTTTGCTACTGCTGATCATGCTCCGGGACATCTGGACCCAAATCAGTGCCAGAGCGAGGAAACCGAGGCGACACAAGTGATGGCAGACACGGGTGAGGGCAGATTGGAGACCCTCGCGGAGGGAGGTGCATCCCGGGCGCCCTCGGGCTGTGGCCCTGTGCTCCGCATTCGAGCGGGCCAGAAAGAGGCTCCGCCTCCTACAGAGAGCCTGGAGACAGCCTCTGCCTCCACCTCGGTGGCAACGGACAATAGTCAGGAAAGTGGCTGTCAGCGTAGAGAGCCGAGCGGCCCTGCTGGGGAGAAAGCTCTAGAAGCCTGTGGCGCAGGGGGATTGGGGTCTCAGATGATGCCTGGGGTGAAGGCCAAGGAAGTGACGACAAAAAAGTGCGCCATTTCAGCGACAGAGGATAAGGACGGCGTAGCAGAGAAGGCGGTAGAGGAAAAGAAGGTGATACAGAAGGAGAAAAAGGTGGTAGGAGGAGTGAAAGAGGAGACACGGGCCAGGGGCCCGAAGATCAATAACTGCATGGACTCTCTGGAGGCCATTGATCAGGAGCTGTCAAACGTAAATGCCCAGGCAGACAGGGCCTTCCTTCAGTTGGAGCGCAAGTTTGGCCGGATGCGAAGGCTCCATATGCAGCGCAGAAGTTTCATTATCCAAAATATCCCAGGTTTCTGGGTCACGGCTTTCAGGAATCATCCCCAGCTGTCGCCTATGATCAGTGGCCAAGATGAAGACATGATGAGATACATGATCAATTTGGAGGTGGAGGAGCTTAAACACCCTAGAGCAGGCTGCAAATTCAGATTCATCTTTCAGAGCAACCCGTACTTCCGAAATGAGGGGCTCGTCAAAGAATATGAACGCAGATCCTCTGGCCGGGTGGTGTCTCTTTCCACTCCAATCCGCTGGCACCGGGGCCAAGACCCCCAGTCCCATATCCACAGGAACCGGGAAGGAAACACCATCCCCAGTTTCTTCAACTGGTTCTCAGACCACAGCCTCCTAGAATTTGACAAAATTGCTGAAATAATCAAAGCAGAATTGTGGCCCAATCCCCTACAATATTACCTGATGGGTGAAGGACCCCGCAGAGGAATTCGAGACCCAGCAAGGCAGCCAGTGGAGAACCCCAGATCCTTCAGATTCCAGTCAGGTTAATTCCTGACCCATGAGAAGCTCCTGCACAAGTTTCTTTACCACCTACTCTTGGATTCTATGCTTAGCCAACAGCATGCAATCTTCCATCTGCATTCTGTTCACATTGGATTATTTTGTTCTTTGGTTCTTCTAAATCTTCAGTTAGTTGCAAGATTGTTGCTTATACGCCTATGCTCTTCTTCTGGGCCTTGGTGCTGTACTACAAAGTTTTAAGTGTTCCAGGTGCATGGCCTTCCGCTGCTTCTGTGCCAAGCACAGTGCTGTAGATAGGCACTGACTTTCTTTGCATGCCTTGGGCCCTGTCTATGACTATGGTCTTTTCCCAGTTTTTTAAGTGGTTATCTACTGCAAGGAAGCTTGATAAACATCTTTGCAAATAACTACCTGGGCTTTATACTTTATGCCGGCTGTGCTTCTGATACCATGTAGTCTATGGCGAGCTCTTTGAGTTTCACTACTGTAAGATGAAGCTGACATAGATGATTCCAGCCATCAACCCAAACAACCCAAACTGGACATTCCAGGCTACCACTGACTTATTCCCAGCTGCCTTCCTGGGCCCGTGCCATCCAGCCTGCTGGTTATCTGGCAGAAAAAGAAGGTGGCTGGTGGGTGGCTACTAGGCATGAATGAGGTAACAGATGAGATGTTATGTTGATCTTATGCCTTTGGTCACTCTGCATCGTGACCAGGTACCGGTGAGTATGAAAGCCTATGCTGTGGCCCACGTAAACCTGTTTTCAGCCTTTCGGATGAGCTTTGCACACTCACCATTGCCTGCCTCCTCAGGAACTATCTGTGGAATTACCCTCAGGCAGCACACAGCAAACTCACGCTCCCCAAACAGTTACCTGTAAACCCAATTTGCCGTTGGGAAGATTGGGCAGTCATATGTGACAGTGCCCAAAGCAAGCCTGGAACTGGGGTTCCCTTCCAACAGTTAGCTTTTCTGAGTCCTAAACAGCAGACCACCCTTAATCTAGGCATTTTTGTTAGGCATCCCCTTCCTTACCCCTCCGGCACTCCCTCTGAACATGACGAAGTTGCCAGGTTGGGGCACCAAGTAAGATGTATTTCTGGTCTTTCTCCATGTCCCTCTCCTCCTCCTCCCTCCCTCCCTCCTGTCTCCTTTCCCTCTTCCTTTTCCCCCACCTCTGAAGCAGTTACAGCTCAAAGAAACAAACAAAATTGGCGAAGCAGTCTTTTTGTTTAATTTGCTCTCCTCTTGATTGTGTTCAGAGGAAGCTACTGTACAATGGATTCTAGATGTCATTGCCCTCTCTGCCCTCATGCCTCCACCCCACTTTCTTTAGCAAGGACTAAATATTTCAAAGGGAGACCTGTAGGTAAATTGCTTAGTTATGGGCAGTGTTCTTTTAGGCCAACTTTTACAACCCCACCCATTACCCCTGTCCATTTACCAAAACCTCCTGTGTGTAACTTGAGCTTTAGTTTGAGAAGCTGGGAGGAGAGATAGAAGGCTTTATAATGATGGGGTCAAGAGAGACCCAGATCAGGTTGTGCTGTAAAGCAACCAAAACTTAAGTTTGATTCCACTTTTCTAAAGATGGAAATTTTGCGGGGCCTTAGACCACTTAGAAATAATACCAAGGCAGCATTTTGTGGGTCACCCCGGTCTTCCATACTATTTTATTACATCCCTGATGACCCAAGAGCTTGCATCCTTCTGCCTGGCCTTAGCTCTCAGTCCTCAGCTTTCCCATTTCTTTCCCTGCTTTTATCCTAACAAAAGAGGGAACAGGCTGCAGTCTGCATTGTGGCAGATGCCAAGCCTCTCTCCTAGAGGATAAGATGTGTAGAGTCTGTCTGGATTTTCAAACCAAGTTCTAGTAGGTGGGGCAGCAGTGTGCCAGGGCTGTCTTACTTATGGAGGGTATGGTGGTGGTGGTGGTGACATTCACCCTTATCCTTCCTCCTTTCCTTCTGAAGCCCTTTGTCATAAGCTCCCCAAGGGCTTGGCGGGTATAGACACAGAGGAGTGGAGAGGGTGCTCTAGGCTGGAGAATCTGAAAGTCCAGAAACAAATGAGCCTGCTGTGGAGTGGGCTTAGAAAGGCAGTCAGGGAAGACTGGAATTTTGCAGAGTCAGGGGTAGGAGGGGAGGCCCTGAGGCTCCTCCCAGGACAGGTGGGAGAATCAAGTGGTTGATGTTTAAAGAGGATGCCTGGAGAATTTTCCTCCAATTTTTCCTATATCCCCGAGTTCACCAGTAGATTTTTATACATGAAAATGCAAGTCTAGATGTTTTCTTTCAATTATTCCAGGAGTGACCTATATGTGGAAGATTAATGGTTTATGCTTCTTATTTCACTGTGAGTAAAATCCTATTCTTTCATTTTTGCGTGCTGGCAAAATTGACATTTACAGGTCTGTTTTTGCTTGTAATTGAGAACATGTGCAAAATATCAAACTTGTTTCCTGTGCAGTATGAAGATGTCTGTGAATATTCATTAATATCAGCTTGTTCTGATCTCTTCATATATACTCTATTCTTAGAAATATTTGACTGTGATCTTTGAAGAGTCTGAAATTTTGCAAATTGTCACTGTCTTGTGAAAGTAATCTCAAGAAGAAAAGCATAACTGTGTCTTACTTGATATTTCTTGCCCTAGTAGTAATGTGGTGCTTGATATTTTATGTTCCTAACTAGTGTTAACTACTTGTAGAATTGCTCCTAATACTAAACAAAGATCATTAGTACTTTTGTCCTCTATGTGCTCAAAGGAAAAATAAAACCTGTCATTCTGCTGTACTTCTTTTCACCAAAAAATAAAAATTGATAAAGCTCTGTCTGTGTGGTCTAGGCTAATATAAGGTTGAGAAATCATTAAAGTTAGCAAATAGTCACTGTAAGCATCATGCTGAAGGTAAAAAAACAAAACAAAACAAAAACCCACCAAACCTGACTTTTTTGCTTGGAAGATGGTAAATTAGCCCACTGCAACTGCATACTCATGAACATAATTTTTCCTCTATAACCAGTGCAGTTTTGGGTGGTAATTGAAGCATCATATGTTGATTTGCCACTTACTGATTTCTGTGGAAAATTGTTCTCCATGCAGTATCCTTGTTTATGTTAACCACATCTCCTCCTTGGTCTTGTTCTTAATGAACTTGATAGACTTTTGGAAGAATTAATCATTGCGTATTCTTTAAGTGCTACTTAAATTCTTTTCCTACAACAGTGTGATGCTTTAAAAAGAAAGAACAAAAAAATTATGGCTGAAATATGTCTAGAAACAAATGATATCAGACATCAGCTTTAGTTAACAGGAATATTTTGCTGTTTGGTAGCTCTTACATGAAGGTTTGGGAGGTAAATACTTCTGCACTCTTTTCAGTCGAAAGGGCTGTGGATGCTGCAAGATCTGGGAAAATGAATGAACGAAGTATTTTTAGCCATCTAAACAAAAATTTGATAAATGCCCAAAATTACTGATTTGAATTAGACTGTTAAGTCTACAGTTTAAATAGACTTGCTGACTTGATGCAATTCTTTCTTGCATGTTCTACTTGCTGAAGTGTAATTTTCCTAGGCCTGGAAAATCTTTCTAGAGAGCTAAGGTTTCTTTTGCAAGCGCTACACTCATTTAATCCTAAATTCCCCTTATAATGTTCATTTTACTTTTTCAATTCAGTGATTGGTGCATCATCAACCACTTGTTTCAAGCATTATCCCTTTTATCCTGTTCTGAATATAATAATAAGATGTTATTTTGTTCTCCTGGGTTTATTATCAGCTTCAGTCTAACCAATAGTGTTCATTTCTGTTAGGCTGATGCCACTCATTTGTTAGAGATGAACATGGTTTCTGTTTTGTCTAATAAAGTTATAGACTAAATTAGGCATTCTCTAGGTTGTACCTACTAACCACTGGGTTCACTCCTGCAGTCCTGTTTCGTTTCTTTGCATTGCCTTTTTGTTTTCTTCAATTTTAAACAAATTATTTATGCAAACCTCCGAAACAATTAAGAGGGTCTCATCCTCTGGTCACCAAAGAAGTACGTATCAGTTTGGTTCGCTTAGGCCATGTTCCCCTGAGTGTAGTAGTGACGTACATGATTTCCCTGGTCCCTACATAACAGTTCTTTACCATTTCTGGGCATTCAGCTCAGGCCAGATACCCCAAAAGGCTTCTCTGACCTTCCTTAACTCAGACCTCCTCTCCCCTCCCCATATTCCTGCTCCTGCTGCTTCCGCTTTATCTCGTTAATTCAAGTTTACTTAAATCAGTTTTAATCATTTAAAAAAAAACAAAAAATTACCTGCATTCTTAATTTCTGAGTTCCCTGCTCCATGGAGTCACAGTTTGAGCCTTGGATGTCTGACTTTGCTTCAGATACGTATTCCCTAGCTTGACAATCTCAAGAGATCTATGTCAGGCACTTCCATGTGTGTTCTCATGTTACCTTTGTAATCGATATAAATTTTACTATCTCTATTTAAATAGTTGTGAAAACAGAGATAGAAAGTTGAAGTAAATTGCCTAAGATGCAAGTAAGTCACACAGACTTTAAATTTTCTGATTTCAAGCTAGGGTACTTTTCACTGTATCACAAATGTATTAAATTTGGCATAAAAACAAAAAAACCTATTTATGTGTGTATTTAGGCCTCAGATGAAGGTTATATGAATGGTTTTTGAAAAAGGTACTTTTTATCACTTAATTCAGGGTTCCGTGTTCAGATTAAAATACTCCCGAATTTGCCTGTAATCTTGATGTTTGTTGCCTAAATGAAACTAGCAGTCTGTTCCTTTCATCAAAGGGAAATAAATGCACCATAAGGACTTTAAATATGTTATACTTATGAAATTTAGCTAAGAACTGTAAAGAAATGTTGATATCAAATTAGAGCAATTTTTTAATTCAACATGGTGATTGTTTTTAACAGGCATTTAGGAATGTATTCCCTTCTCTAATTTTTAAACTTTGTTAAAACTTTATGAAGCTTTGACCTTCACTAAGAAAGTATCAAGGCCAAAGTATCAAGAAAGGGAAATAAAGGTTTTTTGTTTTAAATGAGTATGGGAACAGGTGCCTGGTACAGGAACCTGATTGTCAAGCAGTCTGTGATATTGTCATTTTAAGTAATGACTCGAATTCTCTATAGATATCTCACCTTCCACTAAGTTTTCTTGGACCAGTTTTCATTATTCCTTCTCCATTTTGGTTTCCTCGATAGCAGAGAGGGAAATTTGCTAAGTGTTCAAGGTGAACATTTAAATGTGAATATGAAGAGTAGACCTGCTTGTTGATGACTTTAGCATATGTGGCTTCCAGGAAGAGCAGACATTATACATTGTAGGACTCCTGTGCTTCTTAGTTCTCTATTTTACTCATCCAGGTAAGTTCTATGTTATAGATATTTAGTATTTTTTATAAAATTATGTTCCTTTAGAACAGAGCCTGTGTCGTCTTCATTTCTAATCCCTCAGTTGTCCTACCATGGTGTGATTATTAAATTGAAGTATGGTTTTAGACTGAGAATTTGCCCCAATCTAGATCCAATATTGGAAGACTTTACACATCAATTAAATAAGAGCATGAATTTTGGGGTCAAACTTGGGCTCATGTACAGACTCTGTTCCTTAAAAACACTGCAACTTTGAACAAGCATATTATCTAACCTCTGTGAATTTCAATGTCTTCATCTGTAAAATTTTAATTATACTCTCTTCATATGGTTGCAGTAGGAAGTAAATAAGATAAGGTACATTTACTTGCCTGGTGAGGAATCAGCACTCATTACTATTGAATTTTTACCATTATATCTGAGGATGATTTTAGAGACCAACAAGAATTTACTTTTTTGAATTCACCCTACATGGACTGGACCATGCCCAAGGATTTTCAAGGGCAGCAAATGGACCACACTGGGTGAATTAACTCTTGAATATATCCCGGTCTTGCACTAACTCATGATAACTGTGTTATCAAGAGCCTGAGAAGAGGTAAGGGAATGGTATTGCAACAGCATATTAAAAAAAAAAAAGGTATCCACGTGATTCTAACATTCAGTCATATCCAAAAAGATAGTCTGACATTCAATTTTATGCTGGTTTTTTACATAAAATCATATTTATTTTGCATTCAAACAAGTTCACTAAAAATGTGTATACATATACCTACATATGTACATATATATGCTTTATATATATATATACACATATACATATACTCTAAATTGAAATCAAGTATTATTTCCCTACTAACATTCACATCCAACAATAACTTTATGTGTATGTATGTATGTATATATATGTATATATATGCACATACATATGTATATGTATATAGTGGGGAAGTTATACTTGATTTTAATTTAGAGTTTAACAAACACAGTAGTTGATTTTTGATTGTAATTCATGATTCAAGTGTATTTTCTGCTACCTTGATATTCTAAATACCAAATTCTGCCAAATCATTTGACTACTGTGGCATTCAGATCTTTCTTCTGCTGATGAGATCAACAGTGGCCAGCAAAGAAAATCTCAGCTCCCTTGCCAATTATTTTTATGTATCTTTTAGGTAATGAATGTTTGCCTGTATGCTAATATTAAACTTAAGTCCTCTATTTGCACAATTTTCCTGTTTTCTTACTCATGACTTTATTAAATATAGAGCTTTTCTTTTGTAATAGTCTCTTTAACTTTTATAGTGCCATTTTGGATGATTATTTTTGATCTTCACATCTAATTGGAAACACTGTCACATTTTAGAAATAATGAAATAAAAAATTTAAAAGTCTATTTACAGTCCAACAGAAAAACAACATTATTAGGCTATCTCTGTTAGAAAGGTAGAAGAAACTTGGAAACAAACCCTCTTGACAAGAATGAAAAAAATGAGGTCAAATGAGGAAGGTAACTTGCTCAGATTCTTTATGTAGGTACTAATAAAAGTAAAACTAGCACTTTTGACTTGAGTGAATTTTTTTTCATTCTTTAGTGGCCAAAAAGTGCAATGAACTTCTTATTTTGGGGTTCTCATTTTTCATCCTAACAACAGCAGTTTATAAGTATTTAAAGATGATTATTCTTTGCCATTGAAAAAATAAATGTGTAAGAAAAAATAGCTTTATTTTTAAAAGAAATCAAATGTATATTGAAAGTATACACAAGACAGCATATATCATTTAGTCTTAAGCTTGACCGTGTGTGCTTGTTATCATATTCCAATGATTCTGGAAATCAATTTCACATTACCATATACTTATTAGTAGATATCAGAGAGCAACTGACTTTGAGAAAATAATTTCAGTAACTGCTTACACACCCTGAGATACCTGTCCCCACATTATATTTGGGATTACTTGAAGATTAAAAAATTTTAACAAAATATTTATCTTTTCATTGCATGCATCAACATGCTAAGTTCTCTGCTATAGACCAAGTAATGATATTGATAGTGACCAGTATGTTTTCTGATATTGTCCATGATAAACAGAATGAAACCACAATATAAAGAGTAGCCAGAATTTATATTGTAAACATTACCTGGCTCCTAACATCTTGCAACAAATAGCTACTAATATGACCATATATAGCACACAAAGAACACAGTAATCCTGTATTGCAGTATATGTATAAAAACTCTTAAACCAGTTTTTCTCAACCTTTTTTTTCATTATCATCCCCTTCCCAGGAAGAAAAATTAAATATAACTCAAATTTAATTAATAAATTTAACTTTGTATTTGTCTTTAATGAGAAAAATTAATACTAAGGAATAAGATTTTTATTGGGTAATGTTTAGCTTTGGAGGGCGACTGTCCATTGCATTGTCTAATATTTTTTTCACCCCAAGAACCAATGTTTGTCCCATTGAGAACACATACTTTAAAGTGAATGAAAATGAATTAAATGGCCTTTAACATTAAGGGAGAACCTAACAGGTAACACTGGAGGCTGAAATAGTTGGCTTCTGGTATCATCTCTGTCCCATACTGGCTGTGTGGTCTTAGAAGAAATCATGTCTCTTTTATTTCCTTGTTTTGGAAAACACAAGAATAGCATAAAACCTGATAGCTTGGAATAATCATTTAATCTCACCAGATTCAGTGTTCTTGGGTATAAATTGAAAGAGCTGGTGTAGATCAGTTGTCCCTAATTCTGGCTATGTTTTCCTGAGGCACATAAAAGATGTTTGTCAAGGTTAATCTATACCCGAGTCCATTTCAACCAGTCTCTGGAGGTTATGGTCCAGCCAGAAATAATTCACATTATTATTAAATAGTACAAATTTATTTATAAATTAATAAATAATAGTGTGAATCACACTATTATTAAACACAGGTTCCTGGGCCCTGTTTCCAGAGTTTCTAATTCTGTAGATCTGGGGTGGGACCTGCAAATTGGCATTTCTATCAAGTTCTCAGGTGATGCTATGCTGGTGGTTTGGGACCACGCTTTTAGAACCATAGTGTAAATATGTGTGTGTGTATGTATGTGTGTGTCTGTATATATATATCTCCCCAGATGAATTCTAATCTCAGAATTATTGGTATATACAAAATTAATAAGGTTCTTTTCAGTTCTAGATATTGAGATTTTAATATAATGAGAGCTGTTGGGCATCAAGATGATCTATATAGAAAGGTGACCTACTAAAAAACATCAATTTCTTGGTCAATTTTCATTAAGAATTTGTTCCTATAAAGCATTTTATACTATTTAAATTTTTTTTTAATTTTTACAGTACATTTGCTGTGTATATGGTTCTTTATTTCCTTTTGGAGTAAAGAAAAGTTATTTTGTTGTCCGCGTTTCAACATTTGATAAAACCAATGGAGGGTTTGGATAGTAGCCAGCCATTTTTGAATTGTTTGAAGAGAATCTTGTAAACTTGTAGTCCAGGGGCAATTCTGGAAAAAAACCAAAACAATTTGATTATTCTGCAGATCTTAAAAGGCCTTTCATAAATATAAACATCAAAATGTGATGGTCATTGATAATAAAACTTATTTTTTTAGTTTCATAATTTTAATATTTCGTTTGTCACCTGAATAGGTTGTACCTAGGATGAAGAGTATAGATATTTTTCCCTATAAAATTTACAATAATATTAAAGTCAACTTATATTTAGAGATATTGTAAATCATCTTCAGAACTCAAACTAGTTTAATTTTTGCATTTAGTTTACCCTCCACACACAAAAGTTAACACTTTTTTTTTTTTTTAAATTTAAAAGTCTCTCAGGCCCTACTCTGAGGATCATGTAATTGGTAAATGAGAACTAACAATCTTCATAGCCCTTAGTAGTAAAAGAATTACTAAGGATAATTTTTAATGCCCAGCTAAATAAAGATTCTAGTATGCACAATGTGGCAATTTTCCTCGTATGATATACATTACACAAATACACAAACACACAGACACAGCCATAAGGGGAGGGCACATAAAATGCATACTTTATTGATGGTGGGACACTGTGATAACTTTATATAAGTCTCTCATAAGCTAGTCTTCAGATAATTTCTTCCCAAATTTCTTCAAGGAAACATTACCAGAAATACTACAATTGAAATGTTATATGTCATGTTATGATATTTATTACACATGCAGATAGATACAGGGCAGTAATCCTTATTTCACGAATTTCCTAGGTAAAACATCGATTTGTAGTACTGAGTATTTACAAGACACTAGCATAAAAATTATACTTTATATTAAATGCCAGAATGCCCAAGCAGTTAATTCTTATAGGGAGAAAACTAGTGCTAGAGATTGGGAAGAAAGAACACTGCCTTTCTGATGCTAGAGAAAGTTTTAAAAAAATATTACATGAATACAAAAAGGTTATAAGAGGTGAAGGGAGAGTATCAGGTTTGTTTTTCGCCTCCTATTTCATTCGAAACAAACATTTTATTCTCTCTTTCAGGTAGCAGAAAAGGTCTACTCTATTAAGAAATCTCAGTATGGAATAGCTAAACTGAGATCAGATGACTTCTGTTAAAACAAGGATCTCTAGACTGGTGATTCTGCAAGAAAACATTTACATCTCTGTTACAGGAAAGTCATTGTTGGGTGCTGACCATTTGGAAGAAAAGAGAAAGAAAGATACACAAAGAACCAGTTTCTTGTTTACCACAACAATGCTCTATTAACTCTCTATACTAAATATACTATAATAACAATCATATTAAAAACAATTAAATGAAGTGAACCTAAATGAACAAATATTCTTAAATGATAAGTTCAATGTATAATAACATAACAGACAGAAACAACTCCTCTTGGGACTTTTTTTTAAAAAAGATATTAACAGGACAACATTTATATAAAGATTCTATCTTCAACATGTCTAATGCCATGGCCATCCTATTATTTTTCTTCCAGCCATTTTTCTTAAGTGGAGGTAAATTATACAGTAGTATCCAACTTTATTGAAATAATCAATTTGAAGTTCTGTGTGAGATATAACTTTCTGAGCATGTGATCATAGCAATGAGTGCTTAGATCATAGTGCTAACTTCGAGACTGACTAAGTAACAATTTGCTTTTTGAGGAAGTATCTTGGACATCAAAATCAACAATTGAAAATGACATACCAACTCTCTCATTCTTCCCCCACCCCCACAAAAATTGATACTTGGAAAATGAAATGAGAGGGCAATGATGTTATGTCTATTATCCTCTGTAAGAAGAGGTGATTACCACAGAAGATGAAGAGGGGGTTATTTTTCAATTCTTGGGAGAAATAGTTAAATCTTAGAATGATGGAGATTTACTTTTCTTTGACTTTCTTACTATTTCACAACCATAGCCTACTGAATGGTTTTATCCAGGTACTTCAGAATAACTCAGTAACTTCCATTACCACACTACCCTACTCTCTCACTGTAAATTTGAATCACTTTAAAATAAAAGAAAGGAACAATGAAATATAAAAATTGAAAATAAGTTAATCCCTTCAAGTTACAAGGTCCATTTCTTTAACAGAAAAGTCATCTGTGAAAGGAAGAAATATATTTAGGTTATCTTTTAAAAATTTTGTGCATATAAGCATGGGACAATGAAAAATAAACCATTCTTTCGAAACCAATGAAAATGAGATATTATTTCAATGAGTAAAATATACTGACATATGAGATTTGTATACTGGCATAGAAGATGGACCTTTGGGAAGGTCGTACATATCTTAGGGTCATCATCATCATCATCATGATCCTACCATTAATTCAGATAAATATTTTGCTTTATTTTCTCTCACATTCCTCCTGCGAGGGAGGAAATGCAGGCTGGTACTATTCTCTTCAATTTAAAGAAGAATCTGAGGTCAAAAAACTTAAGTATATTTACTACTTCTAAACTGGAACTGAGACAACTAGCAAAGCTGGATAAAAATATAAACATCAGAGTGAGTCATTGGAGAACTGAAAAGGCAACCAAGACCTGAGAACACAATTCCTGAGAAGGAGTAATAAGTGGAGATGTGAGCTGACATTCTGCCACAGCTCTTGCTCTTAGGCACTTGAAGTCTGGCTGGGGGCAGGGACAGTTACAAGTGGCAGAAAAACCAGTAGAGCTTTCGTCAGCCTTGAAGAGCTGCAAAGAAAAACTGAGGGGCTAATAAAGCTCTATAAAAGAAGGGGTGGAGAAATGGGCTCTGCTGGTTTTCTACTCAAGCCCCTTCCCAAATTCTGAAGGGAACTTTAGGAAACTAAGAAGCAAACAGAAGCACAAACCTCTGTAAAGCAGAGTGGATTTTTCAGTAGTTTCTTGGTATTGAGAAAACGGAGGGATGAATATATATGACCTGAGAGAGGAGAGGGGTCCTAGTGAATACTCCAGACTTCCAGTTACATATTTCTGAACACAGAATTTGTTATTACGAAGTGATTCTCTTTCATGTTAATAGATATTTCCCTTAATGTCTACTTTGTTTCACATTATAATTTAGTGAACACTTTCTTTTGGTTAAAGTTGTTAGCATGGTATCTCTCTCCTAAATCCTTTGATATCCAAACTTTCAGTGTCCTTATGTTTCAGAGATGTCTCTTATGAATAGCCCATAGTTGGGTTTTGTTATTCATTCAGGCTTTAAATGAGAATATTTAGCTACCTACATTTATTGTAATTACTCAGGTTTAAATTTATCATTTTACTGAATGCTCTTCATTTGTCTTGCTTATTCTCTTTTTTCCCCTTATTTTCTTTTGGATTCTAAAGTTATTTTATATTATTAGCTCAGCATGTATATGTATTGTATATCATTAAAGTTCTTTTGATTACAACATGCATTTCTGACTTATCGTTTACCATGTAAGAATTTAAAACACTTTAACTCTAGCTGTCTTCCCTTTGGGATTTATATGACATTGTTGTCATGTTTTTATATTCTGTATTTAAACCCCAGAGGACTTCATTTCTTTTTATTGTTTCCAACAGTAAATATTCATTTTAATCTTCACATATCTATCCTTTTGTTGCTATACAGTCCTTCGTGCATCTCCAATCTTCCAAGAGGCATCGTTCTTACTTTTTCATGAAGAACAAGAGCTGTTAGCATTTACTTTAGCATAGGGCTTCTGGAGATACATTTCCTCAATTTTTATCTGTCTAAAAATCTTTTGATCTATTTTCCAGTGCACTCATTTACTTTTCAGCTATGTTTAATCTCCTGTTAAACCCATCCATTAAATTCTTAATTTTGATGTCTCTACCAAAGTTCTCATTCCTTTCTTTTCTGTACTTGACTACAGTAAGTTGTAAGAAATAACCTTGGTTATTTCTGTTCGTGCAGTCTCATATCCTTGTGTGCCTGGCTAGTTTTCATTACATGCTGAACCTTATATTAATTGTTTTCAGAAATAATCTGAGTCCTAGAATGTTAATATTCCTCAAAAGAATATTCACTGGTTTCTACCAGGTGCCCTGCAGGACTACCAATCTAGAATCTTCTAAATCCAATTTTCGGGATTCGTATGATTTCAAGCTGAGCTTCAGTCCTATTTCAAATTCATCCTTTCTCTATTGTAAACTCCGTTGGGGTCTCAACACAGATTGACTGAGAGAGTCCACCAGGCCCTCTACTTCCATCCCTGTAGGCTCATGAAGCTACTGAAAGACCTACTCCCTTTCTTTGGTGCTCGCTCTTGAGTCAGCCAACACCAGGGGGAAAAGCAGCCCCCAAACTCAGGCACACCTTACTTGGCCTCCTTAGCATCTTGTCTTGGTAATTTTCCCCTACTTTTATCCTATGACTACAAGCAGACTTAAAAAAAACAACAAAAAAAAAAAGTCCAGCTTTTGTAGTTGGTCCCAGGAGATGGGCATGTCCTAATTACCTAGATTGTCATATATAGATATTTCCTAAGAAAAATGTTATGGAGAGATTTTTTTCTTTTAAATGCAAAATTTCTAGTATTTAAGGTCATTATTATCCAGTAACAGGTAAAGCTTTATAAATATTTTCTCCCTTACCTGCTATTGCTTCAATACTTGGAATTGCAATAGTGCTGTAAGTACTGATTCTCTTACAAGACCATGTATAAACCAAGGAGTCTTCTGTATTTTCCAGTCTCGAAACAGAATCGATAAAAAAAGAGCCCCATTTTTTAGATGATGAATTTAGAGGCTTTGTCTTCTGTCCCTGAAACAAGAGAATAGAACAATGAAAAATCATTATTAATGTTCAATCTCATAAGTTTTTTCCTCCACTAAGTAATAAGTCACAATAAAAAAAAATCTGTAAGAATTTCAGTTGTTTACCTTAACCAAACTATATACTACATAACAAGTAAAACAAAGCTTAGAAGTCCTTTAAGGTAGCCTCCCCGGCTTTGTGTGGGAACCCCTTCTCATCCTTAGGGATCCGGCCTGAATGCCAACCAGGATGTTTTCCTTGACCTCCACACTCAGATTGGATTAGGTTTCCTCTAATTTCCTATATCCTGAGTTTGTCCCTAATATATTATCTCATACTATCTCACATTTATCACGCTATTTACTTTTTACCCTTGACAGATTATTAACTACATAAGATTAGGAACTTTCTTATGTATTAGTGTAATCCTAAAGCTTTAGTGCCTAGGACAGAGGAGGCACATAAAAATGGTAGACTCAATAAAAGACTCATTCAATAAATACTTCATAGTGTTTTATGGATATGACATAAAATTAAGAACTTAAAAAAAATCCTATCATATCCATGTAATCTGGATTTTACAATCTCTTATCCTGTTCTGATGAAAATTTCATTTTAGAGCAGCACAGTCACAAATTAGCCTCTAGATTCATAATTCCATAAAGTGCCGAAACTCACTTTATGAATCAAGATGAATATATGTTTTCAGAAGATGGTGTTTGGAAATCACTCAGCATGAATTGATTTGGATTTCACCAAAGATATTTAAGAGCAGCATAGAATATGAATATCTATGTTCCTGTGTATACATTTAAGGTGTATTTCAATATATCTTCTTAAGGTCTAAAGAACAGTTTACAAGATAAATTTCTTTACGTAGTTCATTATCTTTTCTAAAATAATGAATCAGAAGAAATGAATCACGACTCACAAACTATATATAGATAATAGTTTTTAAGTGAGTGGTTGAATCTAGGCTCCTCTCTATTCCTATGAGAAAAGGAAAATAGACATATTTACCCTTTCTGGTTCAATGCAGTATGGATACTGCTATGATCTACCTGTTTATGTCTCCCAAAATTCATATGTTGAATTCTTCACCTCCAAGGTGATATGAGGAGGTAGGGTCTTTGGAGGTGCTTAGATTGTGAGGGTAGAACCCTCCTGAATGAGATTAGTGCCTTTATAAAAGAGACACCAGAAAGCTAGCTTTCCCCTCTGGCATGTAAGGGTACCGTGAGAAGACAGTGGACTGAGAGGAAGCAGATCCTCATCAGATACCAAATTGACCAGCACCATGATCTTGGACTTCTCAGCCTCTAGAACTGTGAGAAATAAATGTTTGCTATTTATAAGCCAGCCAGTTGATGGCATAGCAGCCCAAATGGACTAAGAAAGATGCCAATCTTTGTTCATTCTAATGTTGGGGGTTTTAATCACACACTCATACACACACACGCGTGTGCTAATCAAAAGAATCATGCCATTTTCTGAACACATCAACAAGAAACACTTCTATTTTTGTTAGAAGTGTTTATATATTACAGGTATCATCCTTTAATGGTAAGTGTTCTCACCAAGCTTCTATCCTCTCTTCTGCTCTCTCTGTAATCTCTCTCCCTTAGACATTCATTATGTCCTAGTTTTCCTAATTCTAACTAATCTATCTCCCAAAAGCCAGTTTGATCTCATCCTCCAAATATTTCAAAGAAATAGGATTCAATATTAAATCAATCATATCTCCCTCCTCACAAAAGCAGTTTTCCTTGACTTCCCTATTTATATGAATAAAACCTATCATTTCCAGTTGCCTATGCTTGAAAACCAGCTATGTTGTAAGTCTCAACCCCTACCACCAGTACCAGATTCATCATTTGTGCCTCTAGAACATCTACCTGCAAATTCTCTTTCTTTCTCATTACTATCCAGTTGGTCATGTTTGTGTTACCTATAATATAGGCTGCGGAAACAGCCTCCCACAGCATCCCCATCACCCTCTACACAGCTGTTACACGAAAATTTCAACATTGTTACTCTACGTTCAAAAATTGTTAGTGGTTCCTCTGGTTGACAAATCTACACATGATCAAGACTGCACTGTAGTCTGTACATTACAATCTCTGTACACTTATTCGTGTTATTTCCTGAACCAAGAATGTTATTTCTATCATTTGATAATGTACCTGTTCTTCAATGTTTATCTCAAATTCTACATTCTTTGTGAGGTTTTCCCTAATTCTCCTTGATGAAGTATCCACCCCGCCTTATTTAAAATTCTTTAATAATTTGTACCCTGTCCAGGCAGTTATACTTTATTTCTATATTCAAGTTCCCTACTCCTTCTATCCTCATATTATAATACATTCTGTAAAAAGGAACTGTGTCTGACTCAATGGTAAATCCCCAATATTCCTAGCAAAGAGGCTTACACAAATTAAAAACTCAGTACAGGTATATGTTGAACAATAGAATGGTGTTCGACTGGCTTTGTAATTGGCCTTATTAAGACATCTCTGCTAATCCAATAAGCTCTTACCTATGTCTGATATGTGCAATAAAAATTTTGAGTATTATTCTGAAATGTGTGTGTGTATAGACACACAGAGCTACCAATCTTGCCTCTCAATCTCAGTGTGAGTGGATTTAATTAAGGACATATATAAGACATATATACGTAAGCTAAGTTATATATAGATCTCTATATCTTTATGAATAATGATTCATTTAGTTTTGAAAATGAAAAAAAAATGTTTATGTGTATATATATGTGTGTCTAATATCATGACCGCTGACCAAAATGGAAAGGTTTCAAGACAAAAACAAAAAAAACAAAATAGAAACAAAACCCCTGAATATAATCAGTTTCTTCTACTTAACTTATAATTTAGTTTTATTGACAAGGCTTATCTGTAAAAGAACCCTGAGAAAAAAACATAACCAACTGAAAATATCTCACAGAACTATGAAATGCAATGAAGTGAAGCTTTAGCGAATATTGGTTCCAGTTTGTTTTTTTAAGTTAACTCATACAAATGTATCTCCGACTATTTTATTAGTAATCAATTAAAAAACCCAGACAGTTTTATTAACTTGATTGCTTTAAGGAAGTATAGATAACACCATTGTTTTAACTGGCACTTCATGGATTACTAGTGAGGATGGGCATCTCCTCTCATACATAAGCTTTTTTCTTTAGTCTACTGCCTGATACCTCTTGTCCAGTTTCCTATCTGAATGTTCTATTTCTTATGTGCTAGATATAATATCATTGTTGGTTTTTATTAGGTTGAACCACATGAAAGTGCTGATTTTGAACTATTCTTGACATACAAAAAATGGCATTATAAGGTTCCATCTAGATGGATGCTGCAAAACACTTTTCTCACTGGTTAACAGTATTCCAGGTATCTTGAACAAAACTATTTAATATTGATGCAAAGTCATCAACTTTTCTACTTATTGTTGCTCTTTTGGGTCCTAATTTGAGAAATCCTTCCTCGTCCTAAGGTCACATGAATGTTTTCATAAATTTTCTTCACTTAATTATATAGATAAAATTTTACTTTCCATAATCGATTCGGAATTAGTGAAAAAGGAACTCATCTTATTTTTCTTCACACAGAAACTACGTGTTCATTTACTGAATTGTCTATCTTTTCTGATGATTGATAATCTTCTATCATATATCACATTTTCATGGTAACTTGGAATGTGATACAGGGGCATATGTCTGTATTTTTTTTCCTCTGTTCACTAACATTTTATATATATTTTGTCACCAGTATTGTATTTTAAAAAATTACTGTAATTTCCTAACATGATTAGTATCTGAGAGAGCGAGATTCTTTCCTTTCATTATCCTTTTTTACATAATTGTCTTAGCTATTTTTGGGCCTTCAGTTTTTTATCTAAATGCACTTTGTGAAGTTCCACCCAAAATCTTTCTGGGATTTTGCATAACATTATACTAATTTTATAAATAAATTTAAGGAAAATATGTAACAGTATAATTTTAAATCATGTCTTCATAAATATGGTATATCTCTCCATCTATTTATTTGTATTCAGAATTGTTTCTAATTGAGGTATAATTGACAGATAACATTAATTTCAGGTAATACCATATAATTATTGGATATCTGCATATATTGTGAAATGTTCACCACAATAAGTCTAGTTAACACCTATCACCACACAGTTACAAATTTTTTTGTGATGAGAATTTTTTTCAATATATAATACTGTATTATTAACTACAGTCGCCATGCTGTATGTTACATCTGCATGACTTATTTCACAACTAGAAGTTTTTACCTTTTGTTTATTTCCTATGGCTTTCTATGCTAATGATCATATAACTCCAAAATAATCACAACTTGGTGTCTTTTCTTCTAACCCTAACTCCATATTTCTTTTTCTTTTCTTGTGGTGTTGGCCAGCTCCCTGTTACATGATATAATTCATAACAGGTATCTTTTGTCTAGCTAAGAACCTTAAAGGCTATGTGTCTCCATTAAATATGGCTTTACATTAAATATTACCTTACAGATTACACTCCCACTGGGTTTTTTGTGGATAGCCTTTCTCTAATTACAGGCTGGCTCCTTCTTTTTTGCTGAGAATTTTCATCATTAAAATGAATTATTTTGGCAACTAAATTTCATAGTATGTTATTCTAAAAACCCTGAGAATACACTTTTATTTGAGTTAAAATGAAGGAACAGATGAGAACAGTACTGAAGGAAGCTAAAGAGGAGAACTCCTTTTCTTTTTCCTATGGAGGGTAGTCTTATGAAATGAAGACTGTCCCAATAATGACAAGATTAATGAAGTGACTTTTATTTCTGGAAACAAAAATCAATGGAAACAAATTATTTTTCCTTAGTCTCCATAACTAGGCTTACTTGAATAATTCAAATGGGTGATTTTCGTTTATCTGTCATGCTCCAATAGAGTAAGTTATCAATAGATACATTAAGATTTCAGAAAGTCTCTTATATAAGCCTTTCAAGTGCCATTTGAGATGTTCTCTGTCCTTGAGATACCTGTCACAAATGAAGGGAGGTGAAAATGATCTTTATGTTCCAGATGGTTTCACCTAGAATGGAAATTGCTTTAAATATGTGAGAAATTGAATTCAAGTCTAAGTGAAACAAGAATGTCCACAGAATGTGGGAAATGTAAACGTTCTGGTTCACTTCTGAAATGACTTGGTTAATTTGGTTTCCCATTATATTGTTTAATCCTGAAATGACTTGGTTAATTTGGTTTCCCATTATATTGTTTAAAGTTCACTTACACTGAATCAAGTAACCACAAATATGTAATTAAATTCCTTTGCATTCAGGCTTTGTACTCACCAACAGACTGTACATGACACATGTTCTGTGTTTGACATTTGGTTAAAAAAACTAAACTCCATCTTTCTGAATAATCACAAAATAAGCAGAAGAATGCCCACACAAGGCTTTCTATTTAGTTCTCTTTAGGGACTGTTTCCCTCCTGCTGTAGCAACTGAAGATGTTTGCATTCTTGTCTCTTCCACAGAGAAACAGGAAAGAACCTGAATTCTCCTTGCGTGCTGAACTTAACACCTGACTTTGGTGTGCCGACAGAAGTGTGCTGTGCAGAGGAACAGACCTGAACTTAAATATGAAAGCAGTCTCATTTTTAAAAGTTGTGGTTTTAGGTTTATGTCAAAGACAATTTTTTAAAAACACACAGAATTATTTTAAAATTGTGCACATATGCCTTTAAGCATAAGCAGAAAGATGCATGATTGAGGGTTTTCCTTTAGCAACTAAGTTGGCCTGAGACATCTGCTAAGGATGGGCACATCAATTCAAATACTGCCTCAAAAACAAACCACAGAGACATAATGGCAGTCGGTCTGACCAGGATAATTTTGAAGTCACATAGTATGAGGATACTTTGCTTTTTCAACATAATGTGTGGGACACGATTGGGAATCCCACAGCAAAATATATGCTTCGGACCCCAACAGAAGAAGGGACTCCATCTTCTACAATTCCACTTTTCCTGGAACCTCCATAGTATGAGAGATGTTAAGAGTTCAGGTATAAAGCTGGATCCTTAGGCCTTATTCTGTCACTTGGCCAAACCCTCCTAGTCTTTGCTTCCTTGTCCATGTTTGATAGAGCAGGGGTGGGTTGGGGAGGTGGAGTTCGATGAAAAAGGAACATTATTTATTTCAATTCTAACTTGGGAACTAAAACATTCAAGCTGTTGACTCACCATTTTCTGTCCAGGAGCTAATTATTAACTATTATATGTTTATAACTAATTAAAAAGAGAAAAGGGGATCCATGGAAGAAGGATGGGGTTACTGTGTACATATTGCTAGAGGAAACTTTCCCACTGATTTTTCATTTTATTACCATACCTGCATTCTCAAATCATTTTGAAGAAACCAAATCTCTCTTTAGTGAAATCTTTTTCGAAAGTCACTCCAGTTGGAAGGCCCACCTTCTGAAAGGTTGTTTTAAAGCTCCTCTTAACTGAAATTGTCCAAAGAACTTATAATAATGTCAGGTTGAAGACTAAATGCTACTCAATGGAAACCTCAAAGAAACCTGATTCCATTATTCTAACATTTTGTTAGGTCTACTTAGTTATTTTTTCTTTTAATAATAGACTTTTTTAAAAGATCAGCTTTAGGTTTACAGATAGAGCAGAAAATTCAGAAAACTCTTATATAAATGTGTATATTATATATACATATCCCCCTCCTGCATCCCCACCATTCTCTCTCCATTATTAACATCTTGTATTAATTGGTGTGGTTAATTTGTTACAACTGATTAACCAATACTGATACATCATTATTGATGAAAGTCTGTAGTTTACATTAGGGTTCACACTTTATGTCGTATAGTTTTATGGGTTTTGACAAAATCATAATGTCATGTACCCACAATTACAATATCAGAAAGAATAGTTTTACCATCATAAAAATCCCATCTTCCATTTATTCATGCCCCCTTCCCCTGAACCCCTGGTACCCACTAGTCTTTTTACTCTCTATAGTTTTGTCTTTTCCAGACTGTCATATGGTTGGAATCATATAGTATGTAGCCTTTTCAGATTGGCTTCTTTCACTTAATATGTACTTAAGGTTCTTCCATGTCTTTCTGTGGCTTGATAGTTTATTCATTTTTATTGGTAGTTTTTGATATGATAATTGTTTTTGATTTGAAATTTTCCTTCTTTGTAATTGGTCCACTGGAATGAATTTAGAAAAATGCATTTTATTTTCTGATCTTTCTTTTCTGTTTCTTCTTGCTTTTAAACAAACACTTATTTTCCCTTTCTAGATTTATGACATATTTTACTTTTCTTTACCTCAAGTCTTCACCTACATTCAATCTGGGGGCTCAGGAATAAGTTTAAAGGAGCTACCAATTTAGTTACGTTAGACCCGTGAAGAGAGAGCAGGAGAGTTTTCATGGCCAAGCGTAAGAGACAGTATGAGTGTAGTGAGTCAGGATCTGGCTGGTCAGCACCAGCCGAAAAACATCCATGGTGCCATAGCACTGAATGAAAGCAGAGGGCAAGGAAGACAGATGTTATCTTGGTATCAATTAAAAATTATCAATGAGATCAACTATAGAGCTGAGATGGAAAGAAGATCACAATAACTGTCAACAGATTTCATCATTCTTTATACAAACACTTTCTAACATACATCAAACATAAAGGTTTTTCCTTCAAAGAAAGAGCTAAAGAGAACCCTTACCTCGTATTTTCCTCTCTTCTCTAGAGGCTCTGATTCCTCAGGTTTCACGTCTCTTTCCCCTTTGAGCTCTTCCAGGATGAGGACTGTCTCCCAATTACTATAATGACGGGCTGGGTAAATATCTGAATGCATGCTGTCACCAAAGTAAACAACCTGTAAGTCAAAGAGCAAATTCTGTTTGAGGCATGAGAACTGTGAAAGAGAGTGGTGTTCATTTCATGAAAGGCAGAAGTAAGGCAGGTATCGTAGTAAGGCATATTACACTTCCTTGAATAACTTCACAGGGGGCTGCTGAATGGCCCCACTGGGATTGCAGGGTGCCATGTTTACTTTAAGAAATTATATAATACATTTGCAGGTACAAGAAAGGCAGAAAATAAGTGATTTTATTCAATTTTCTGAAGGAGTGAAAGAGTCCATATGTTTACACTTAGACCTGCCCCTAGAATTGAAGAACAGGGTGAGATATTAGAGATGACTTGCTACAGTGAGTTAGATCAGCAGGAGGGCACATCACAACCACTTTACCAAAGAGTTTCTGGGTCCCACCCAGACCTGCTGAAACAGAATCTCTGAGAGTGGGGTTGGGCAAGTAGACTCTGAGAAGCTCCCCAGGTATTCTGAGGCAAAGCCCCACTAATCTAGTCCACACCCCTTTTACAGATGAGAAAACAAGGTTAAAGGAATATGAACAAGAACCTGCAAGTCAGGATGCTCTGTCCACTAAACACCTCAGGAGTTCCCCGGGGGCTGTGGCACCATGGGAGCCAATGGAGTAGGACTCAGTTACCCACTGATCTCTTCTGCTCGCAGGGCTCCCAGCAGATTTTTTAGATGAAAGGTCCTGCTGTTAAAAATGCACCAATGTCCAACATCAACAATGTGACCAGATGTCAAAAGCAAGTGTGTCTTTAGACTATCATCTGCAGTGTAATTTCAGTTATTTTATATATATAAAAACTTTTTGGATAGATTGTTATCAGGACATCATTACTCAGGTATCCCACACACTAATCCAGTATATCGCCTAGATCTGTGGCTCCTTCTTGGAATCTATGCTCTTCTCTGTTACAGATAAAGACCCAGACTACATCAACAAGGGAAAGGCTTATTTAAGCAGAAGAGGTAAGAGAAGAAACTGATACAGGCAGAGGCAGAAGTTTTCCCCACAGATAATTAAGCTGAATGCATTATGGTTTTAGTTTATAATGGTTTATGTCTGCAAGTAGGCATCCAGGACTCCGCCTCAATCAGAAAATACCTTGGGTTCAGGTTTGCCAGTCATTTTCTTCAGAAGTTCGTACAAGTGGACAGCGTTCCCTTGGGAGTACCAGCCAGGTTTATCCAGAGATGGCAGTGGCTCCTGCTCCTCGTCATTCTCTGAAAACAGTTTGACAATCATATACTTTTTAGTTTAGTGAGAACACCCAGCTGAGTAGACCACACTCAGTAATGGCTGCGGGACATGTATGAGAATGAACCACGTGGGGCCGGGAGCTAGCATTCAGTGAGCATCGACTATTACAAACACGTCACGGATACATAAATAATAATTATTACACATTTTTAAAATAAAAACATGAAAAATAAATTATTTGAATATTTTATATACAATTAAACATTTTTTTAGAGCAGTCTTAGGTTCACAGCAAAATTTAGAGGAAGGTACAGTGATTTCCCCTATACCCCCTGCCCCTGCACATGCATAGCCTCTCCCATAATGGGTGATACTGATATGTCAATGTAGGTCCATCAATTGAAACACATGTACTACTCTGGTGGGGGATGTTGATAATAGAGGAAGGTATTTTGCCCAAGGTCTCATAGCTGGTAAGTGATTTATTATTAACAAAACTCCACAGCTTACATTAGGACTTCAAATTGGGCCTAGAAGACAGAGGGTAAGACAACAGCCCCATGGACCATCTCTAAATTTGGATTCCTGGACCTGAATATGGGTCACGCAACTGTCACCAACAAGATACAACTATAGCACAAAAGAAAATTTTCTCTGGCATCCGTGAGGACACCCATAATCTGTTAGTTCCACACTGGAGCCTCAGCCAAATCCCTGTGACATCTTTATATAATAACCAAATCAGTGTTGTTTATTGTCCTCCATATATATGAAGAACAAACAGGTCATCAGTGGATAAAGAAAAGAAGGTGAACTTTAGAATTCATTTTGAACTTCATTTTATGAAGTTTATTATCTTTGCAATCGCTCTCAAATTCATTGATAAAAAAGGACTATCTTATGAAAAATGCAAACCAGTATTACTTTCCTAAACTTAAACTTTGTCATAGTTTTGATTTAAAGCATTCTTAAAAGCTGAGTAGAATACATTAATTGGAAAACATCTTCCTATGAACATAGATATTCAGAATAATTTTCTGTACCAGTGTTCTGTATGATGTTCAAATTATTCCTCAAAACTTATAGCCTAATGACTAAAAGTTAAAAAATAACTGTGGTAAAAGTAGAAAGGAAAATAACTTCAAGGAAAAAAAAAAAAGCAAAAATTTCTGACCGTTCTGAACTAGTTTTCATCAGTCTTCTGAAATGGATCACGGTGGCTACTAAACTGTTATAGAGTTTAAATTCTATTTGATAACTTTTAAGGTGATATAACAGCTTTATTTTATTATTTAAAAGTTAAAAAAATTTCAATTGCCATTGACATACAATATTATATTAGTTTCAGGTGTACAACACAGTGATTAGACATTTATGTAACTTACGGAGTTATCCCCCATAAATCTAGTACCCATATGACACCACACATAGTTATTACAATATTATTGACTATATTCCCTATGCTGTACTTTACATCCCTGTGACTGTTTTTATAATTGGCAATTTGTACTTCTTAATTCCTTCCCTTTTTCCACCCTTCCTGCTATTCCCATTCTTTTTCATCTGAAAAATGTGTTCACTCTTTTCATTCCACCTCTTTATCAGCCTCTTCTACATGTGTGACAATTCTAACCACCCTCCTTGAAGGCTGAGATTGCTCCCCAGAGAGGACTGCTTTGTTTTTTATGATCCTCCTGTATTCCGCAGGCACCTTTGTTCTAGAAAATTCAGACATTACAATTAATTCATCCCTCAAGTATTTAATGAAGCATTTATGCAGGCCCTAAAATCTAAGGTAAACTCCATGCCTTTCATTTTTATAGTCAGGGAGAGACTGAGAAACAAATGATTATGATACAATGTAGTAGAGTAAAATTTAATACAAACATAGGTTTATTATCTTCTTTCTCTCCCACAAAGAGAAAGACATAGTGTCTCTTATATCTTTTGTTGCACCTAACACATGGTTGTTACCCAGCAGATTATTTATTGAATAACTGAATGAACAAATCCTAAATAGAAGACAAAAGCAAAACGTAGTTTACCTAGTGTCCGGAAAGGTCTCTGACTTGGTAAATGGGAGAAGAAACCAGGCTTCAGTGCATTTGTAATCACAATGTCAAAAAGATCGGCAAAATCATTCCTAAGAAGTAACACATTTTCCATAAATTTATTTAAGGAATTAGAAACGGTCTATAAAAAACAGAACTTAATGTTTGCCTACCTACTTGACCATAGATAGTATCATTCCTTATCTTTGGATTACCTTTTTACATGCTTTCTATACATTTTAAGGTGAACCTGGAAACAGAAGGTAGTTTAGCACTAATATTCTTGACAACACCTTGAAGTATAAATATAAGAAAAGTAAGAGCACATTAACTCATTAACTCTAGGTGCTAAGCCTTCTCAATATGGTAATAGTAAGTTAATTCAATAGTTTCTTACAGCTAGAAATAGTCACAAGCTATGTCTTCCTATTTGAGTCCTGAAATTTGTCTGGATTGGTTAGCTTGAAGAGATATTAGTAATTCTGTGTGTCACATGGGTTCTATGGAAACCTAGCATTATATCAAGTCTGGTGACATCTTTCAGAAAGTATGCAAAATGTGAAGAAGATACTTTATTTTGAAAATTGGGGTAGTTTTATAAAGGGTCAATTTTTAGATAACAACAGTAAATTGTTTTTTAGTTTGTATTTAATACTATATTTAGGATTATTTGAGATGGTAAAGAAATGGTAGTCCTTGTTCCCAATGGCTTCGCGATGGTATTGGGGAGACGATATTTACCCAACATATCTGTATACTTTTACAAACCAAAACTGTATTAAAGAGAAATTGTGACAGGCAGGAAAAACTTTGGTTATCTATGCTAATGAAAAAGAGATTAAGACTCCAGAGTTTTTATTCTGAAGTATGGTTCCATCACCAGGAGAGCAAAGCTCTCTGTAAAAGGCACCTTTCAAGGCATCCAAGACTTCAAGCTTTAATTCACTTCAAGGATCGCAAGCCTATGTATTATTCAGAAAACAAAGCATCCACTCAGACTGTAAGTATACCATCGACCAATTTAAATCTACATGTGCTGAGAAACATGTAACCAGGGGTCAGTTTAAAGCTAAAACTTGCTTCATATGCAGAGCAATTCAGTACTTGCTGAAATCTGAGGAAATGTCATGAGGGATCTAGTAGCCCATTTTAGAATCTTGCTTGGACCTTGGATAATCTCTGGTATTGCCCAGAAGAATGACATACATAAGTATTAACACTTACTGAAAATAACCAACTACTCTGCCTAATACTTTACCTGTATTATGCTATTGAAACTCCTCTTCATATCTATGAGGTATTATTGTCCCATTTTTAAGGTGACGGAATGGAGGCTTAGTGAGGTTATAAAACCTGCCCCAGGTCACACAGTAAGTTGCAAGGCAGGGCTTGAACCATGTCTGTTTTATTTTCAAGTCTATGCATTTATAGTGCCTCAATTTTCACAGATGTCAATCCCATCCCTGGCTGTGCTCAATGGTGAAGGACAAGGATACACACGGAAAAGGCTACAGAGAAGTTATACTCGTTATCTGTCAGTAAGTACAATCTGCAACTTAGTATCCCTCAATAGTCATCCCGAACTGAGAAACCAGATTCATGGAAGACAGCTGGAAGGACATGTGTTTTCTCTTCAGAAAATCTAAAGCCCAGATCAGTAAGCTACGAGCATGATGAACCCCGGTAATGTTGCTTTGCTAAAATGTACTAGGGGTTTGTTGGGATCAGCAGATGTTGAGGGATGTAATGAGAAACGACCACTTGTCACTCAGCATTATTTAATATAATATGGTCATGGTGGAGCTTTTTTTTTTAAAGCACTGGTCTAATTTGCTATTGGTAAAACCAAGAAAATGGAATGTCTCATTACTTACCCAAGGATATGTTTGCAGAGAAGTCTACAGTAATCACTGTGAGAACTAGTGATTAACAGAAGAATTTTCCCAGCATTCTTTAGCTGTCGAAGCCACTTTTTTACGGATTCAGGACATCTGTGTAAATACCTGCCTGGATCTCTTTTTATTTCTGGAAAATACATTCCACAGTTTTCTGAAAAATAAAAACATCGAGGAGATTTTTTTTTTTTTCATTTTGGACTCAGTGTATTCTCAAACAAGTTACCCTCTCTCAAAACTATAAATAAAAACAATCTAGCAATCAGTATTGCTTCTTAAGAATACTTCTCATCCTTTACTTAAAAACATAATGATGATTGAAAATGTAGTTGAGAATATGTGTTGGCTATTTGACAAGAACTGATAAACTGTTAAAACATAACAAACAATATAATCGGCATTCTCAAATCAGAGATAATCTTACTGCAGTTTTAAATATCGATTGATTGATATTCTTTCAATCACTCAACAACTATTTGCTGAATACAGATAACAAAAAAAATAAATATGCAGATAATGCACCATGAACGCATCTTTGGCATAAAGCAGCCAAGAAGGGAGCTGGGTTCCTCAGAGTCACAGTAGTATTGTTTCATATGAAACTCAGACGAGAAGGGTCAGTCTATTACAGTCTCCGAGAGGTGCTGAGACAGGAAGAACAAGCCAGAAAGGCCAGAAGGCACGGTAGTGGACAAGGAAAACTGAAGGACCTGAATCACTGAGCTGGGGCTGCTGGCTCTGCCCCTTTGGGTGTTTAGAGAGTCCAACGGGTCATCTGAGCTGTTGTCCTGGTCAGATGCACTCACAATGCTTGACACGGTGCCTTAAAAGTTGTGGGTATTTAACAGACAATTGCAGATGTGGCTGAAATACTACTAGAGTCATGAAGCATTTTAGAGATGCTGTTCTCTGAGTATGACAGCACTAATAGAGAGAACTCAAGTTCTTACTTTCTTTAACTGCTATAAAAGAAAAAAAAATGCATTAACAAAACAAGAGGTGAATGAAATTATACTGAATGATAAACTGCAATAGATTTGGGCTACACATGCAACTCTGTATGCTGTCATATACTTGAAATAGCAGAAATGAAGGCTACATTTCAAGAATATCAGGACAGGAAAAAAGAGTCTTTAAGCAAAAAACAAAACAAAACAAAAAAACACAACAAAACCAGAAATGGTAGCAAATACAGTCTCTGCCTGCCCAAATCCACTCCCCCTCTCTGTTGGAAAGTACTCTGATTTTGTTTGAGGTTTTATCCTCTGCCGAGGGGCTGGGCACTCAGGGAGGGCGTAGGTTTCCGTAGGTCTAACCTATGATGGCAATTCCTTCCCCTGTCAGTAAGTTGTTTAGGACCCTGTAGGAGAGCCAGGCATGGCCAGTGAGACTTGAGAACTCTGCTGGGGACCACTGGAGTCCTGTATATCACCCATCCCTTCTATTCTGGACTTTGCTATGGCTACATGTTCTACCTAGAACTGTGGCAGCTAACTTCAACATGAAGTGCAACTCTGACATATCAATGATGACTGAGTGGAAATCTGAAAAGAACCTTTGGCTGATGACATCACTGGGTCTCTGATTAAGAAACTGAATTAACTGTTCAAAGTATCACGTAAACTCTGAACTTCATCTGGTCATGCAAACTAACTCAATTTAATGATAGCTTAAACATTAAGTTTACCAGTTATTTGCAACTTAGAGCATCTTTCTTCAGAAAAATAGTATGTTGTAGGAATCGATCATAATTAGACCAAAAAAATAACAGAATGTTATACTATGAGAATAATATTCAGACATTGGGAGACCAAGAACAAAAAGAGTTGTGCTCTTCTTGTATTTTGTCCTACCGGGACATTTTGTGTAAAACTCTGGGATCCCTCAATATCCCAGAAGCTATGTAATGCATAGCTATGTAATGTGATGCTATGTAATTTTTCAAAGCTTTTTATCCCCAAAGCTTAAAAATATTTAAATATATCTTCTGTTTTTCAGGGAAAAGAGGGCACAAGTAAGATAGGGCTAAATAAGAAAGAGAAAATAATACAAGTAAGTTGCTAGGAAGAAAACAGTTTGATGAGTGACTATCAAAGTAATGGCAGAGGCTGTGACTCAGAATTTATTATACCTAAAAGTCATACGTGAGATTATTTTACCTAGAAAAGCAAAGTTTTTATAGCAATAAGAATTTTGTGAGTTGGATAACAAAAGATTTATAGTACCTAATGCTGAAAACATTTACATACTTAAGCTTCTGTAGTTAGGAACAACTGCTGAGAAAAAAACTATTTTTCCCCCTTAGTTATACTTATGAGCTTAGTGCCATCTAGTGATCAAAATATAAATTACTGTTAAAAAGTTACTGTCCCATTTCCAAAGGAATCAAGAAAACAGCATATACATTTAAATGCTGTATTTTAAAATTATTGCCTAGATTAATTTTATTAGTATCCCTTAATAAGCCTAACGCAGAGGAGTGCAAACATAATAGTTTAGCTGGAGAAAATTACTCCCTGAGGTGAGTGTCCTGATTTTGTTCACAAGCCAGACTGAAATGAACAAAGTAAAAGACAAACCCTATACAAATAGAGACCCAATAGATTACGGATTGCTCTTACTATAAAAGATCACTGACTTTTGTAACCTCAGATCATTAAAGGAATAGATGTAATTACACAAATACTCATCTTTTAAAAAATTTATCTTTGAGATACCACTGACATATAATATACAAGTTTAAGGTGTACAACATGTTGATATGCTACATCTATATATTGCAATATGATTCCCACCATAGCATTGGCTAATACCTCTAACACGTTACATCATTTCTATTTTGTGATGAGAACAATAAGATCTAGTCTCCTATTAATTTTTAAGTGTATAATATAGTAATGTTGTCTATAACTCACACTCATCTTTTTATTGAAATAAATCAAGCTACTGAACCAACAGAAGAGTTAGGTTAAACAAACTACATTGAATTATAATTGTTAATTAAATTAACTTCCCAAAGAGACTTTAAAGTCCTAAAGGTTGGTAGTATATCTTTCTGCTTAGCATGGAGCAGGCATTCAATGAATGAATACCTAAATTAGTGGAAGGGCAGACACAGGAGTATTTGTGTTTATTTATAGTCAAAGTAATATTATGATTCATAACATATAACCTGTGAATGACAAAAAACTGCCCTATCAAAGTCACCCTTTCTAAAGTACATTCATTTTTTTTTTACCTCCACTGAAAAAAATAATCATGTTTAATTATATTATGCTACTGATAGATTAACACTGACTGGACATGACAGGGAATTTAGACCGAAAGTGGAAAGAAAGAAATGGTCTTGTTTGTTCTCAACTCACAAAGTGGCCTGTGTTTTCGGTTAATCTCAAAGGAATTCTATTTTACTGCCACTTTATGTAACTAATTTTCCTGACCTTTCCACACCTCTAATATCCTTAGATGCTAGTATTTTCTATGTCTACATGGGATTAAAAGTAAATTTTTTAAAAAGCTAGTTATAAAGAATAAAAGTTTAGTTGTACTATATTAATAAAAACTGGTTAATGCAGAGTCATGGAAATAACAACAGCAAAGTGTTTCAACAGTCTGATATGTACATAAAGTGGCCCACATGTATCAAATACGATTCAGGATTTAGGGGTCTCTAGTGATAGATAAAAAAATACAAACTTAATATTAAAAATACTTTTTTAGTTTAATAGACAATTGTGCCACATCACTATTTCTGTCATTGCAGAATAAGTAAGCCTTTTTCTTGTTAACTGTATTACCACTGTCTGTGCAACTTGTGGCTAGTTTCCAAAGCTGTTGTCCCAGGGGATTAGAGATGTGGGGATGCAAACACCTCCACCATCAGCCTCCAATTAAGGTGTGCTGCTCTTTCTGTGGGAGACAATAATTTAGCAGAGACTGAAACATTTACAACCTTTACAAGTTATAGAACAGTATGCAAGTGAACAGCTACAATGTTTAGTTTTAGCTATGAACTCAATGTACTTGCTGTAAGGAACAATATAATTAATTTTGTGAAATATACATATATACATATGCCTCTGTGTGTGTGTGTCTGTGTGTAATTTTGGCCAAGAGATATTGAATTATTTTTTGAAAGATGGAAGAGATAAACGATAGATTAAGTATGTTCTGAATTTATTTAGGGAGGGCAAAAGATGAAACTGAAATTTAATATTAAAACAAACATTTCTTTTTATGATCCATACATGGTTTGTTTCTATCTAATATATTTATAAAGAAATCTAGAATATCTGGATTGAATGAAGTGAAAGAAATACCATTTGTGAAGATTTAACAAAACAAAGGATTTTGCTTAGGGTAGGAAATTAATCAAGAACTAACAACATCTATTTATCCAGCTTCTTTGGCCTTGAATTCCATATCTCTGGCAATAAAGATGCCTCCTATCCTCCTGGAATAGGGTGGCTACCATCATATGGGAGATTTATTTTCTTCTTTCAGCGGGGATAAAAGAAGGTCAGAGTGTTTTTACACTGGCTGTTTCTCAAGTAACTTTAATTCAAAATGTTAAATGTCATATTTTGGGTCAGCCTGCCCTGAACCCCATCACCTCCAAAGAATTCTATTGTATATACATATACAGAATGTAAATGACATATATTGCTATGTCAACATAAATATTTCAGTTTAAAGAAAACCAAAATTAACAAGTAATTTAAGGTAAATTCTATATAGTACTTCTGACTTCTCACCTACTTCAAATGCGAGCTCCATAGAAACTGAGATAAAAATAACCAATTGCTGAAATACACAGTGATTACAACAAAAGAAAAATAAAATTTTTGAAAGGTTTACCCCACCCCCATTAACTTCAAATCAAAAACTTTTGAGATTTCTTTAAAAAACTGATTGGTCTTCAAAGAAATATGCATTTTAAAGATTATATTTTATCATGGGGTGTATTGTTTTCTTAATTACTTTAGTTGAAATATCCTCAGAAATATCTTTTCTTACTAATAGGCCCAAAATATTCAGAACAATGACTAACTTAGAGGGAATCAACATCAGAATACACAGAGATTATAATCACAAAGGATTACTTATCTAATATCTGGTCTCAGAGTGTATTATATAAACAGGAAACCTCTATAT